AATTGATACGGTAAAGTGAATACTGCAATATGGCTGTCAAAAGAAAGAAATTTACAAAGGCTTACAGCTGAAAATATTTTTGTGGAAGGTTGCCACCTATTTGAAAACTTTAATTTAATTTAATTGATAGCATAAATTAAATATTGCAATATTGGCATCAAACTAAAGAGGCTAGGAAATTTTAATGCTGAAAATATTTTTAGCGGATTTGCCAACTGATTGAAAAATTGTATACATTAAAATTTGTAAAATAAATGAAATATTGCAATACGAATATTAATTAATTAATTAATCCCAACGGCTTTTTACCCTCCATTCCCGCCCAACCGACACGAGGGGCGCAGTCCGCATGACGTACGGAACCTTTGTTTTTTTTTTTAGTTTTTTCGTGCCGAGTAGTGGAAACAGGAGTTTGTTAAGTGTCGAGATCTAAAACTATTCAGCTACAGAATCAAATTCATCAGCTGATTGGATATGCTAAAGATAGTATTTCAATTATTGAGAGTGGAAATAATAGTTTTCTTTATAGTAAAAATCGAGTCCGATACGTCAAACGTGCTGGAATGACAGTTAAAATCTTGACATAAACCACGGAATGATTCGTTTAGTTCAAAATTAGTTTTGCATGGCTTTAAAAAATAGAGGTCGAAAGTGTCTTGACATTCGAGAAGGAACATTAAAATTTACCTCAGCCAGGAGGGCCGGGCTATTAATCAAGCCTGTCATTAATTTTACGATAAATATTATACCCAGCATTTCTCTACGACTTGCGAGTGTAGGCAAATTTATGAGCTTTAGACGACTTGTGTAAGGGGGGAGATTGTAATCTGAATCCCAGTTAAAATTACGCAATGCAAAAAGCAAGAATTGTTTTTGAATTGATTCAATCCTTTCTGAATGAACTTGGTAGCGGGGATTCCAAACAATAGATCCGTATTCTAGTATAGGTCTAACTAAACTGGTAAAAAGAGCTTTTGTAACATAAGGATCTTTGAACTCTTTTGACCATCGCCTTACAAATGCAAAAACGCCTTTGGCTTTATTGACTGTAACATTAATATGATGGTTGAAATTCAGTTTGGAATTCATTGTGATACCAAGATCGACAAAATTGGATACCTGCTCCAGATTATAATTTGATATTGAATAAACAGCTGGTTGAACAGCCCTCCGAGAGAAACACACGTTGTTCAGATCCGCTTGTAACAAAGACCTTTCTTCGATAGAGGACAATGTTTTAAAAAGTTTCACATCATCGGCATACATTAAAATTTTTGAATGTTTTATTATAGAAGAAATATCATTAATGAATATCAGGAACAGAATCGGACCAAGGTGGCTTCCCTGAGGAACTCCTGAAGAAACTTTAATGATGTTGGAAGAACAATTATTAACAATAACTCTTTGTGTTCTATCAGAGAGGTAAGATGAGATCCATTGAAGAAGACTGGGCTGAAAGCCGATTAGGTCGAGTTTACGGATGAGTAACGAGTGACATACTTTGTCAAAAGCTTTACTGAAATCGGTGTAAATTACGTCGGTATGAGCATTTTCTCTAAAACCGTTTGAGACATGAGTTGTAAACTCCAATAAATTAGTCATAGTAGATTTTCCTTTAGAAAACCCGTGTTGAGATTGTGTAATTGAAGAAGATATAGAATATGTCAGCTGGTTAACAATAATTGCTTCGAATAATTTGGGGATAGCGGAGAGTTTCGCTATGCCTCGATAGTTTTCTATAGACGACCTGCTGCCGTTTTTGTGAAGTGGTATTATGAAAGACTCCTCCAGGCTGACGGAAAAACGCCATGTTTAAGTGACAAATTGAATAGAGTTGTTAAAGGCTCGCAGATGTTCTCAGCGCAGTTTTTAAGAAAACAGGTCGGAATATGATCAGGTCCAGGCCTAAATGACGCTTTTAAGGTTTTTAAAGAGTGTAAAACTTCATCGGAAGATATTACTGGAATATAAGCAGAGTTGATTGGACAAAGCTCGTACGGATAGTCTCCACTTATAGGGAAGTCTACAGAATAATTGGACCTAAAGAACCGAGCAAACATGTTGGCAATGAGTTGGCTGTCGCTAGATACAGTGTTGCGATAATGCATAGCGGACGGAAAACCATGTGCCTTACGCTTTGAATTTACGAAACCATAAAATGATTTAGGATTGTTAATTAAATTCTTCTTAATTTTACATAAATATGAATTATAACATTTCTTATTTAATGCAAAGTAGCTATGCCACAAAACTGAGTACCTTAGGTAATCACTGTGTAAGCCCGTTCTTTTATACAGTTTAAAAGAGTGCGACTTTTTATTTTTCAATTTTTTTAAGCTCTTTAGTGAACCATAATTGTATTGGTTCTTCATGAACAATATTACGTATTGGCACATACTTTCGAAACAAATTAAAAACAGTATCATTAAAGTGCTCAACGCTACGCTCCACGTCATCTCTATATATTGGCCAAGATAACTTTGAAAGTTCTTTGTTAATTTTCCTGAAATTTGCTTTCGCAAAAACATATCTAGTACTTGAAATTGACTTATTATTATGTATTTCATTTATGATTTCGTAGCTTAACTCAAGAGCAGGATGGTATGCATCTTCCGGCAAAACTAGGGGATCACACCGATTAATAGAGGCCTTCGGAACATCATCAACGTAAACGAGATCCAAGACCTTTCCAAACTTATTTGGACATATATTTATTTGTTTGAGGCAAAGTTCAGCCATTTCCTCCAGAAATACATTGTAACTATCTCTATATGAAACTGGTACAACATCGGTGTCAATGATGTTCCATGAAATATGTGGCAGATTTAAATCGCCCAAAACAATCATAGAATCGGATGCCGTAAGCATTGCATTTACGGTCTCAAGTAAAGAAACTAGCTGCATATATACCGATACGGCAGAATTAGGAGGGATGTAGCAAAGAGCTAAATAAATATAAGTCTTTCCAGCCTGTACACGTATACATTTAAATTCGGTATATTCAATGACAGGAAGACTAACTTCCTCGGATGGTATCGATGAATGCACCGCAAAAAGAACACCACCGCCGATTCTGCCCACGCGGTCACTCCTGTATATTTGATATTCATTTGGAAGAATTTCGGAATTAAAAATATGAGGTTTGAGCCATGTTTCGGTCAAGGAAATAATATTATAATTGCAGTCAAAACCTTTTAAATATAAGTCAGTTAATTTGGTATTCAAACCTCTAACGTTTTGATAGTAAATACTTAAATTAGACTTGCGAGTTAGTTTTTTGAATCCGAATTAAGATTAGAAATTTTAGCTACGTTATTATTACTTTTATTAGGTTTATACTCAAACTCGCGAACAAACGCCCCGGTCGGCCAAAATGAAGTATTTAGTAGTGAATCAAAATCTTCGGAAGCTACATCAATTTTAAAAGATGAAATATCGCGATCGTATTTAAAATTAAATTTACGAATAAATACATCTTTAGTTCTAATTTTAGTCGATATGTATGACTTTATATCATCCGAAGAAGTATCTTTAGCGAATCTAGAGACAAAGATTGATCTTCTCGGAGGAATTACAACCAACTTTTTGGTAATGATGTCTGATGTGCGGGGCTCCGAATTATTCGGAGGAACTAAGTTAGACAGTGGAGTTTGAGATGTTGATGGCAACACTGTTAAATCAACTGTTTGACTATTTTTAGAAGTAGACCTAGTGGATATGGCTTTAGAAATCGGAGGCTCCAATGCCTGAGGGCATGGAGAAGATAAATTAATAAGTTCTAAGGACTGGGATGGAGGATTTTTTTTACTAGAATCCGTGGCTGTCTTTTTAGGTGGACTAATAACATGCCTACCTTTATTTTCTCGGCTATCCTCAGAGTGTGGAGGGTCGTCGAGACAAGTGAAAGACCTAAAAATTTTTTCGTAATGCTTAAATTTCTCAACAAGCGCCGACAGATCCTTCCCGATATCAGAAAAACCATTTCTGGACTGCCTGAAGAATTTAAATAAATCAAC